GGCATTTGGATATCGAATCGAATCGTCAAAATATTTACATTGAACAACAATGCGTGATTAAAATGTGCGTACACCGCTCATGTTTCAACACAAAGAAAGTTATTACGGACTATTGTTACTGACTGGTGCACGAGTTCATAGTTCTTAGGGCGGTCGCAATCTTGAGATTTGTCTCTGATTAATTATATTTTGTTATCAAATATTTATACAAGTTGTACCTCTTATCTGCGGAAGAGCCAATAATTGGACTCGGATATCATAACCGTATATGTGGACCGTCCAATATTTTTTGAAACATGAATTTCAAAAATTATTGCTTCAGAGATAAGATAATTTATTTGCTTGAATATTGACAACCAGCTACTCGTCCCGGCTTCGCACGGGTGTACATGTATTATATATATAAAACTTCCTCTTGAATCACTCTATCTATTAAAAAAAACAGCTTCAAAATTCGTTGCGTAGTTTTAAAGATTTAAGCATCCTTAGGGACGGACAGACAACGACAGCGACTTTGTTTTATACTACGTAATGATGTAGGTGTTCACCTCATATTTAGGAGGCATTTATATAATATACCTACATCTCTTCCTGGAGCTTAGTTCTTTCAAGGCGAGCATAAGTTTTTTCTCTGATATAAACCTATATATTGTAAATTAAAATTTAAGAATTATTTTTAATATTGCTATGTACCAAATAAACAATTTTCTTTCTTTCTTTCTCTTTATTTTGATAACAAACAGGCGTTATAGAAATGTATAAATAAGCGTATTATTATAATAGACATTGAGTGCCGAAGATTTTTACATAATTATATAGAGAGTCTAGAGGCCTAAAATAAAAACGACAAGATTTAAAAGTATGCGATAAACTTACAACAAATATAATATTTAAAAAGAATAGAATAGAATATAGGAAAATCACAAAAATTTACGAATAAACAACAGAATATTCACTGTTTTTTATTCTTAAATTTTTGTGATTTGAAACATAATAATCGTTCGTGTAAAATTTACCTAAAATCGGATGTAAGCGCAGTCGTACAATTCTGCATCATTGATCGTGCGAGGAGAAATGCTTGTTGCATTGCATTGTTGATCTCGATTATGCCGGCACCTACAACTGTAAGCGTTTTGTATTTAATTCGTTCGATATTCAAATTTATAGATTTAATTTTATTTTTATGCCAGTTTCTTACAAGATATTGGTATATCTCGATTATGCCGGCACCTGTACGCGTGTTTTATTTAATTTGTTCGATATTCAAAATTTATAGATTTTATTTTATTTTTATGCCAGTTTCTTACAAGATATTGGTATATCTCGATTATGCCGGCACCTGTACGCGTGTTTTATTTAATTTGTTCGATATTCAAAATTTATAGATTTTATTTTATTTTTATGCCAGTTTCTTACAAGATATTGGAATATCTCAATAATGCCGGCACCTGTACACGTGTTTTATTTAATTCGTTCGATATTCAAATTTATAGTTTATTTTATTTTATCTTTATGCCAGTTACTTGCAAGAAGATCTGGAATATGAGAATACTACCGAAGGTAATGGCTGTATAGGCTGAGTCCTTTTGTCTTTCCCTGAACCTGATAAACCGAACAAAAAAAGTGGGAAATCTTGATTATGCCGGCACCTATCGTTCGATATTCAAATTTATAATTTTTATTTTAATGTTTATACAAGATGTTGGTATAAGAGGCAAAGGAAATTATATGCATTAAAACTTCATAGTAATGAACTTATTTATTCTACTCATGCTGTATTTGCCGCCATTTGATTTTTAAATATTTTTGTTATTTGATTTACATTGCATTTTGCATTAAAACTTTTCCCAGGCCCACTCAGGAAAAAAATAGTTTCTTTCTTTAATATCTACAAGTATAGATATTTATTTTTATTAAATACTAGCTGTGCCCGCGACTTCGTCCGCATGGTATTCCATGCGGTGACCTTGACAACAGATAACATAATATTTTATATTATTTCTTTATTATAAATTTAATAAATAAATAGATTTTAAGCTTTAAAAATGACGATAGTTCCATACAACATTTCAGCTCCTCCTTTCAAACTTTTTATCGAATTAAAAAGTTGCTTATATCCTTCCTCAGGCTCTAGACTATATGTGTATGAAATTTTATTTCAACAGGTTCAGTATTTTTGGCATGAAAGCGAGACAGACCAGACTTTCGCTCACTTTAAGGATTAATTTAATTTTTTTATAATATCGAAAACGTTATGTTAGGTAGGTACTCTGAGATTACATGCGTACATCTATATATATATATACAGAGTACACGTTTAAATTAACATAGTTTGGTAACCATAGACAATAGTGGCTCTACGAAAATGAGCTCACGCACACCGAGGGTGGTTCCCTCAGGGAAATCATGGCCGATGTGTGACGCCACATTTGTTTTATTGCCTGCCCACTTTATTTCTTGTACGTGTTAACTGGGTTTAGTCATCTACTAATGTGCTTGTGACATGTTTCACGTATTAATAGCTTGTTTATAATAATATAGTATATTTTTTATATATTTACTCAATATATATTTTATATATTTATAGGGAGGGGACGCCCTAAGAAAAGATGGATAGATTGTGTGAAAGATGATATGATTTTGTAGTAGAAAATAATAATAAAAGAAAAGTATGTTAATTGTGTATGTTAATAATGGGATAAAGGCAAGGCAATGATGATGATTTACTCCTTATTGCACCAGACAGACAAACAAATATAACAAACAAACAGATAATCTATATATATAGATAAAATTCGAGTGTCTGTTTGTAATATAGAAATATCCGCTTTTACTACAATGAAGTCCCCCTCAATATCGGTCCAGCCATTTCAGAGATTAGCCGGAACAAACAGACAGACAGATATTCATGTGAATATATAATAAATACGGTATATACAGCAAAATAACATTTTTTACAATTTTCGTCTGTCTGTCTGTTTGTTCCGGCTAATCTCTGAAATGGCTCGACCGATTTTGATGGGACTTTTATTGGCAGATAGCTGATGTTATAAGGAATAACATAGGCTACTTTCATTTTAGAAAAATAAAGTTAAATTGTACGCTGACGAAGTCGCGTGTACAGCTAATAAGTAACAATGTATAAAAGATGTTATCGCATAAGCAATCTCTTCCAGACAACCTTTGGGTAGAGGAGAGAAGACAGTTCGTGGTAGATGGCGCAAGAATGGACTAGAGAAATAAAAAGGCATAGCAATACTAAATAATAATAAATTACATATACTATTTACATATATATACAATATAATTTATGTTAATGTATTTTTTAGCCACACTGCAATGATCGTAGGAAAAGGGAAATAAGGAACTCACCCAAATTGCACAAAATTATAGTATAGATGATCTGCGTCGGTGACTTGAAGCACTTGAGGTTTTTAATAACAATACACCACACTCGCGACACAAATACAGTTTGTTATAATATTTTTTTTTTTTCGGACTACTCTAATGCTGTTGGCCGTAGCTGGCCTTTACAGCTTCACCGGACGTTATGGGGCGAGTGCAGATGGCACTCCAAACCAAGGAAGGACTTATGGAGCGGCTGAAGGCCAACTCCTGCCCGACGGATACGACTTTAGTCTGAGGGCACCACTAGGGGTTCGAACCTCGGCTCAGGCCGTCGTAATTTCGATCCCCGTTTGAATTGGACGGGGGATCGATCGGAGGGGGGTAATATTTAAGGAGCTCCTTGTTTTAAATTGATGCATACGGTGGTTGTTTCACTTGTTAAATGGCAACGAATAACGAATTGTCCATATTGTGCAGGGGAAAGGGGGGCGGGAAAAAGCAGTATGGCGGCTTATCAACTTATTTTTTTTTTTGTTGTTTTTTTTTATGGTTTTAGAAGACGCGCGAACATATTTACTAATAATAACATTATATAATAGTTATGAAGAATTCGTTTATCTTCTTACATTATTTACTAATAGCACAACAGTCACAGATAAAAAGTATGCTAACATTTATATATACATACTTAGAAACAAAATCAACTGCATGCTGTGATTGTCATTTTGTACTATGTTTGTCTACAAACATAGTACAATAACATTTTATGATTTTCAATAACAGACTTGGAGGCGTAAGCTTGTTAAACATTATCTTATATATAAAATTCTCGTATCACAGTTTTCGTTCCCATAGTCCTCTGAAACGGCTTGACCGATTCTCATGAAATTTTGTGAGCGTATTGAGTAGGTCTGAGAATCGGCCAATATCGGCTAATAATACATACTTATATAGCTATTTACCTACTCAAATAGACTGTGAAGGCATTGTGGTTTAGTACCTGGGTTTATATTTGAGAGGTTATATCGTAGTTGCTTTGTATTGGTGAAGATGAGTACCTCGCCTTATATACAAGAAGTTATGACTTCAAATCTGGCCGACATCAAAAATCATCAGGTATCAATTTCATTTCTGACCGTTTGAATTTTTATTTACAACAATGTCATTGTTCACATATACTTTGCTGAATGAAACAGTAAAAAAATATAAGTTTTTCTATCAGTTTCTTTCACCAAGATACTGACAGTTACTAATGACTGACTGATTGACTGACTGACTTAAATGAACTTATGGTTAAGCCACTAGGTTTTCTTATCTGTGGTTAATTATTTTTGTGTAAATCTAGATATATTAAAAAATTAAGATCTATTTTGTCAATAAATTTTACATATATAGCATTTTACATAGTATAGAACAAAGTCGCTGTCGCTGTCTGTCCGTCCCTATGTATGCTTAAATCTTTAAAACTACGCAACGGATTTTGAAGCGGTTTTTGTTTTACATAGAGTGATTCAAGAGGAAGGTTTATATATATAATAATACATGTACACCCGTAGTCCGTACGAAGCCGGGAAGAGTAACTAGTAGAATTTAAAAGTTAGTAAACAAATTTTCTAGGTGTAGAATAAGGATACAAATTAGAAAGACGTATCTCCGTATATTAATGTACTTTTATTTTTAAATAAATATAACCAATAACATTTATTACATCACAGGAGCAGGGTATCATAAAACACAATTCAAGTTTAATTACAAATGCGCAACACACTTTCTGAGCAGACCACAGATAAATATTAAAAATAAAACGATAATCCCACAAATCTACTTATCTATGGTACACCAGAAACGATGACACATATGCCTCAAATTCAATTGACATCCCTCACATATAAATAATTATAACTATTAAAATATATTTCATTAATTAAATAAACACTTATTTTGTTTGAACTGTGTGTTCAATGAAAAAAGTATTTTTTAATTTTATATCGTAAGCTTTATAGGCCGTTAAATTAAAAAAAAAGTGTCTATTTCAAAGTCACAATGTCATTGGACGAACGATTAATTCATTATTTAATGTTCATGATCATGATTTACAATTATGTTAGCAAATAAATATATTAAAATATTAATTTGTGCAAATGACAAAAATATCAATTCGAAATTTGTATGGTTTTTTTTAAGTACACTTAGAAATAAAAGAGAGCATTGCTGTTATATTGGCTTTTATAAATGTATGTTTATTTAACCTCTGAATATGTTTATATATGATAATAATGATTATTCTTATATTAAATATGTTAATCGTTCGTTGTTTATGATCATATTATGATATTAGTTTATTACATTAATTATTTTTATGTTGTATGCACGATTATGATACCATAGACACGAAATAAGTACCATAGAGTCGACTCCAAATATTAAAAATGTTTATAAAAGAGTACAATTCTTAAGTTGTTCAGTATTATAACTACAATATTTGGGGTTCGGTTCAGTTTTCGGTTTAGTTTACGATATTTACTTGGCATATGGTGCTGAATTTTGTAATTCTTTAGTACAGTATGTAAGTAAAAATGATTTCTTAAGTTTTATTTTATTTAGCAGCCTTTGAGTTAATTTCATAATTACTGTAAATGAATACGTAAATTTAAAATAATATTCACATATTACGTTCGGGAAAATACAAACCAACTATAACTATAGGTACAATTACGGTCAGATATAATTTGTTTTGGAATATTTTATAGGCGCTACTTTGTAAGTATATTAGATTTTTTATTACCCCAAAAACTATATATTTTTTTTGTTTTAACAATGATGTGCATGTCATATAACTGTCAATATGCTATGTTATAAAAATGTACCGCGCATAAAATATACCAAATACACTACGATATTACGAAATCTAAAGATATGCATAACTAGAAACATGTTAATAGATTCTACAACTAAATACACTTTTTACAATCCGTAATACGACCAAGCGAAACTCCTAAATCGGTTTTAATATAAATATTTTTATCTAAACGTTTACATATTCCTTTGTTTTAAAGAAAGTACAGATTAGTAATTTAAAAAAAGAAAAATCCATAGAGCTGTCACCTGCCAGGATAGTTTTAAACAAATAACAATTTTGAATTTCGAAAGTTCAGTTTTATTTTAAATTTCTCGTATATCGATTTCAAGGTGTCCCAGAATTTAATGTATTTGATTGCGTACGAGATGGCGACCGAAATCGTTGTACCGAAACCGTCTTAACACACGTCAGGTTGATTTACAATTGTTCCAGTCAGCCAGTAACTGTACTCGATCAGGTACGCATAAATAAAATTGACAGGTCAATGGTGACTGATTATGCGATTTAGTTAGATCTTGTTATATTCACAAGACATGTTAATATAAAATCTATATAAAAATCACTGTATATTTATTTATTATTGACTGTTAAACTGAATACAGTTCTTTAAATGAAGAAAGTATTTGATCTGTGGATACTGGAAGAAAAATGTTCAGTTTTATGAATTCAAATATAGAATTGGAATTTGACCATTCTGAACTTTTGTACTTTGGTTCAGTTTTATGAATACTGTACCAACCAGGCCTTTATGCCGTATATTGTATTTATTTGCTTAAACTTTAATGTACTTCTTTAAAACAAAAGAGACTTATTGTTAGTCACTATAACTTAGTAAAGCTAGTAATACTGTACATACCTTTATTTAGGCAACGTAATTATAATGCGACAACAGTAATGTTTACTATGAGTATAGCAAAAACGAAACGAAAGTCTCAGTACTGTACAGACAATAAATTAAGCAATCAATCGATAGCATGACGAAATACTACTTTGGCAAGATTAAAAAAAAAAGAAATTGAGAAAAATAATCAAGTTAATAGAAGTAATCATTTATAATCCTCAATTTCGCGAGCTTAGTAGAAAATCTATTAGATAAATTTATAAATTAAATATATATCGTAACCCTTAACATATATTTACTTAATAAATGAGGTACGTTAAACCATTGTGACTATACTTTATCCATCTACAACGACCTACAGCTAGCTTGTGATCAAAGACAGTCCATACGCTTCATACAAACTCTTAAAATACAAGAGCGGCATAAAATGGAAGCCATAATAAATATGGCTGGCAGCATCGGAATTAGTTGCCAGTTGCAAATACTTAAAAACAATATTAACATGCGAGTACTGAATGTAAAATAACAATATACAAAAATGCACGAAGTGGAACGAAACATCATTTAGGTAGTCTTATAAAATTAATCTATTAGAATAAATAATAATCTTAGTAATGTACATTGTAACGAAATCCTAGGACGAGAAATTCATTGAAGGTACAATATTCTCATTTTATTTGGCATAAATATCGTTAATGCAACTTTAAGACTCGTATGCCTAGGTATGAGTTTAATAATAAGTTATGTAACATTACTCCAACCTATTTCGGACTATTCAACGTTAAGATTAATGAAATTTATTATAGACAGCACGTATATTGGCAGTAACAGTAAAACAACTACATTATCAATTCACATTTTGCACGGAACAAAGACGGAATCTTACCAAACAACAAGAGCACGACTTTTTAAAAACCCTTCGGCTGTTCGCACGGTTCCTTCGCCTGACATTTGTAATCTGTTCGCGTGGATTTGCGCGGGCTTTTTTCCAAGATGGCGGGTGTGGGCGGCTAGTGACAGTTGATGGCGCGTCGCTGGAGGCGCCGGATGCGGCGATGCCAGTCGTCGCGCCACTCCAGCAGCAGGCTGCGCTCGCCCACGGCCAGGCCCGGTAGCCCTGATGCAGATCCCTCTTTTTCCACTCCTAGGATTAGGTATGACCTAATGGAAAAATTAATAATCATATATCTATAACCAAGATATGTTAAATTAGTTATTAAGAAGCATTATATTTATCAAGGAGTTTACATTTAATTTAAACAATGTAACTTATAAATTGCTGTGTATTGAAGCAGTCAAGTTTAATTATGTTAGGTTTTTTTCAGACTACTTTAATGCTGTTGGCCGTAGCTGGCCATTACAGCTTCACCGGAAGATAGGGTAAACGAGTGCAGATAGCACTCCAAACTCGCAGAAGGATTTATGGAGCGCCTGAAGGCCAACTACAGCCTCTCGGATACAACAGACTGAGGGCACCGCTAGGGGTTCGAATTCGATCTGAGGGAGTTATGCTAGTATGACATGCGACTTACTTGTTGATCTTGAGCTTAGGGCACTTGCACGCGAGGTCCGCGGCGCGCACGTACAGGGCGGTGGTGCCGCGGCGCAGGCGACTGCGCGGCGCGCGCTTGTACACGGCCTGCACGCTCAGCGACAGCCGCACCCACGCGCTGCCGCCGCCCGTGCCCGCGCTCGCGTCGCGCCCCACCACCTTGCCCATTATGACTGAAAACGACATTACAATGTTAGGATACAACGTGCGCTCATACAGGGCCACGCTCAGCGACAGCCGCACCCACGCGCTGCCGTCGCCCGTGCCCACCCTCGCGTCGCGATCCACCACCTTGCCATTATGACTGCAAACGACATTATAAAGTTAGGAAACAACGCGCGCTCATACAGGGCCACGCTCAGCGACACCCGCACCCACGCGCTGCCGCCGCCCGTGCCCACCCTCGCGTTGCGATCCACCACCTTGCCATTATGACTGCAAACGACATTATAAAGTTAGGATACAACGCGTGCTCATACAGGGCCACGCTCAGCGACAGGCGCACCCACGCGCTGCCGCCGCCCGTGCCCACCCTCGCGTTGCGATCCACCACCTTGCCATTATGACTGCAAACGACATTATAAAGTTAGGATACAACGTGTGCTCATACAGGGCCACGCTCAGCGACAGGCGCACCCACGCGCTGCCGCCGCCCGTGCCCACCCTCGCGTTGCGATCCACCACCTTGCCATTATGACTGCAAACGACATTATAAAGTTAGGATACAACGTGTGCTCATACAGGGCCACGCTCAGCGACAGCCGCACCCACGCGCTGCCGCTGCTCGTGCCCGCGCTCGCGACGCGCCTTACCACCTTGCCTATTATGACTGCAAATCGGCCAGAACGACGTAAAATCCTATTCTCTAAACCTAATATTAATCTTGAAACCTACTATTTAAATTATTATAAAAAAACCAGAGTTAGACTCGCCAGACCAGCACGACGTATTGACAGTCGCAAAGAACAAAAGAAGTAGGTCTACTTCTGTGTTCCGTGGACAATAATGACATCCTATTCTCAAAACTTATCATTTAATTCCTGAAACCTATAACTTTAAGGTTGATATCCACGCAGTTTCCCCTGGAAACCATCATGTTAAATTTCACGATGGTTAACTAACATGACTTTATACTGCCCCGCCAGCGTAAACCGCTAGCGCAGGTGGTGCGCCATTCCATTATTATAAATAAAAATTAAATATCGCCATTAAAAATAGGGGTGAAAGGGTGAAATGATGGTAGAAGGGAGAAAAAAATATATAATATTTATTTATTTTATTAAGTAACTCCTAATCTGACCGTACATAATATTTTTTATAATACACACAATAGACCTGAAAGTTATTATATTGTTTCCGAAACCTTTGGAAATTTCGTTCATTTTCGGACTAAGTTTTCGAAGGATTGGTTAAAAATTAACAAAGTTGTTCATTCTTATTAGTTGTTCATAATTGAAAATTCGTAGAATCGCTTAATTCTATGGATTTAAGTAAGTACTATTGATTGTACTCGTAATTACAAGTTATAAAGAGGTAAAAATTATTTTTCTTATTTTAATAATAATAATCTCAGAACATTTCACACAGCGCCATCTAGATCCAAGTTAAGCTAGCTAAAGCTTGTGTTATGGGTACTAGATAACTGATACAAGTACAAAGATTTATTTTTTCGTAAATACATACATATTATACATAGAAAACATCCAGACCGATACAAACAATCAGACTCATGAATACAAATGTTTGTGCCGTGCGAGGAATCGAACCCGCGACCATCAGACGTAAAGCGGTGTGGTAGACCGCTAGACCACCGAGGTCGTCAAGTGATTTTGTAATTAAATAAAAAGAAAAGTAATTAAATACTGATAAGACATAGGCACTACCTCTAGACGATACTAATTCTTCTAGGGCAGTGTTTCCCAAACCTTTTTGGAAGTGGACCTTAGCCTTTCTAAAATTCTTATTCCCTTATTCCCTATATAACACACATAATATTTAATATAAAAATTTTAATTGTTCACTTAAGAAAATTAAATAGGATTTTAAGAAGAAATTACTAGGAAATTTGTTAATGTGAGTAATAAACATAAAGGTAAAATTTTAAAACATTAATAAAATAAAATACAAATTGGAAATATATTAATAAAAAAAATTCTTCATTAATTTAGGAATTTAAGGAAATAGAAGTTATTTCGCCACATGTGACGGTTGCCATTTTCCATCAGGTGGACCGTCAGCTTGTTTGTCATAACAGTTATATAAAAAACATAGTGGTACCCACCGTAGTCGGGGGGAAAGGGGATTGTTAGTAATGTGGACTGATGATCTCATTGCTAGCAATGTACCATGTCAGGTCGACCTCCACGCGGTTCCCCCTGGAAACCATCGTGATAAATTCTTGATGAATTTGTCACGATGGGCTAACTGACCTGACCTCATGCTCATCTTATCATCCTCCACTGGTGGCCCGCCAGCGTACACCGTTAGCGCAGGCGGGTGCACCATTCCATTATCATCCATAAAAAAAAAAAAAAAACCCACCGTAGTCTCGGCTGCAGAACTTGTTGAGATTTAGCGTGCGAGCGCCGGCGCGACACCGGCCGCACTGATCCGCTGCGGGCACACCACAAAACGAAACGGTCAAACCGAAATACAACAATTTTATATAAACATTTCAGTATAATATATAACTATATTGTAAAATAAGCACTCAATTTGATATTCTGTTGTATAAAACGGTTAATTAACAAAATCAAAACAAATATTACATATAAATTAGTAGCACATAGCCAAGTGTGAAGATATTTTTCTCAATTTTATTGTACTCTCAGAAAATTGAGAAAAAAATATGTAATGCATTCTGCAATTTCTCAATTTTGTTGTACTATTGTGCAGAGTACAATAAAAGTGAGAAAAACATGTAATATATTCTGCAATACGTTTCTGTAGTTGAAATATTGTATACTAGCTGTATCTGCGAAATATTTATAGCCTATATGTTATTCTGATATATAAGCTATATTTATGTAAAATTTCATCAAAATCCGTTCAGTGGTTTCTGCATGAATGAGTACTAAACATCCACACATCCATCTATCCATCCATAATCACAAACTTCCACATCTATAATATTAGTAAGATTTTTATAACACTAAATTATGATGATACAGGATGAATAGAATTAACAATTTAAAGACATAATGTATTAGATTTACTGTAAATAACAAAACCTTCCATTCGGCACTGATAAATTAAAACAAAAAACAAAACTGTATGAGAATTAAAATGGTGATGATCGAATAAGCATTACGAGTATCTATTGAAGAATTAAAGAGAATGATCGTTATTAATTCTAGAATTTGAGAAAACAGAAAACATTTAACTATTAACTATAAAAATAATCAAAATACTAGAATGATGTGATTAACTTACATTTATATAATTGACAATTTATATTAACATTGCAAAGAGAGATAGAACATTTTACTACGAGGAAAATAATCTCAAAACCACTTCTTTATAACCATTATTATTTATTTAGAACTCTATATTTACTAATACTTATACTTTATTAATTTCGTGTTATTGGGTTTTAAATAAACACCCATATATTATATCAGAGTAACTTATAAAAACCGGTAATTAATATCTATTTTCGATTCCTCAACACTATTTATTAATCGCAAAAAGCTGACAACACAGTTAATGTGTTATATATATAACTATAGTAATATAACTATTTCAATTTTATCTAGCTTCGGAACCTTGCCTAAAGGGATTCCTATTAATAATATATTTTAGTTATTATATTATATTTTTTAATTTTAGGTTCTTTGCTGCATAATATTAAAATATCACATTAGTAGATAATTTCAATTTTAAATGTTATTTAAAACATATCCGTCTGTACTTACATATGCAGAACATTATTTAAGAATCGCAAAATGTTAGTAATATAGGTAATGTCAAAGTCTCTGAGATAAAAGCAGATTATAGAACGATGTATATAGGTTAGGTAGAATAGTATTGCCTACCTTAGATCTATGTAGGTCGCAGTGCAGGCGCTACAAACATCTGACAATAAACCAAACAACCCAAAAAAAAAAATTACATACTTCACTATCCCAAATAAACACGACTAATTGTCAATTTAATATCAATCCAGACAGACATTTTAAATCGAGTTAATAAAACTTTAATTCTAGTTACTAAAGCAAATAGATCTAGTTTAAACGGCGGAATGCTAGAGCAGACGTTTGTGTACATCAAACCTATAATTAGATTGTATATAAATGGATATCTTATTTATCGGTCGGTCTGTTAACTCCAGACGATGCTCCACAACTCGCAGATAGAGAAATTAGATTGCATCTGTGACTTGTTGACACCTGTTTCACGTCAGTTTTACATATAAAATGTAATTGTGTCAGTCACACCACGATAGACGCGATAGCAGTTAATTTAGCTTATATTTACCGTTTTGAAATTAAATAGCTGTTTTCAACTTATTTATTATGGACGGTAGGGAAAAAATTAAAATTATAATGTAAAAAATTTTACGTTCATAAGCGGTTAAAATGTCCTACATGAATAAATTATTTTTGATTTTTTATTCTTTATTAGATTACTGTTTCAAAATGAAAATAGAATAGAATAGAAAATTATTTATTCAAATAAACTTACATTTAAGCATCTTTGAATAGTCATCACATTTTGCTATCAATCTACCGCTCATTCGGAAAGCTGTCTTATCACAAGCAGAACGAGCAAGTAACTATATTTTTATTGATGTAGGTCTATTACGGACCTTTATGATATGTCAATTCATATTTACCGTTTTATAAAGAAATATCCTTTTAACCTACTTCTTTATCATATAACAGTTTCTATATCAAAATATCTTTATTGATGTAGGTCTATTACAGACTATTATGATATATTAAAGCTACTAAAAGTAGTCAATAAAAAGTTAATTTAAAAAACCGCGGCTAGGCGGTTTTTTTGCCAGGTATTTATTTGTGTAGGTACCATCTTTTTGTATTTTTTTATTGGGACGTTTAGGCTTTTGCTAGGCGTTTGGACCTGTAGCACTGCGAGCTACATAGATCTATTGTCATCTCTATAGGTTCCAATCTAAGTCAATCAAACATTGATACAAATAAATATTATAAAATTGTGGAATATACTACTAATATAACTATTTAGTTCTGTAATAGTTTTAAGTATTTTTTTAATTATAAGTACAGAATTTGATACAAAAAAAAATTGTAATGTGACCGTTGTGAAACCTCTCGAGCTATTATTATAACTAATGTGCAAAATAATAAAAAAACAATGTAATGCCTGTAAGTATTTAATGGATTTAAAATAAAAAAATATTGAAATTTTTGTTAGATATACTTACAGCCACTTTTATCACAACCTCTCAAACACGCATTGGTAATATGACCACAGAAATAGAAATAAATTTGGGCGCTTTTTGCACTTTCAATTGAAATTTTGTAATTCCTTTATTCTAATTGTTTCATCAACAAAACACTTATGTAAGTGTGAAATTTAATTAATAGATCATAGCTAGTTGTTAGAAACAGAAAAAGTCTTTGTTCAAATAAGCCCAATCAATCCCATCACAAACAATGTGAAATGATAGCCAAGTTCAATATTATGATAATACGCTTTGCTTGTTGACTTCAACGACAAAAGAAGTGAGATCTAAATGTAATCTTACATATAAAATTCTCGTGTCACAGTTTTCGTTCCCATGCTCCTCCGAAACGGCTTGACCGATTCTCATGAATTTTTGTGAGCGTATTGAGTAGGTCTGAGAATCGGCCAACATCTATTTTTCATCCCCCTAAATGTTAGGGGTAATCCACCCCTAATTTTTTTTTATTTTAAGGCAAAACAACGTTTGCCGGGACAGCTAGTATAATATAATAATCTCAGGACAATTCACACAACGCTATCTAGACCCTTAAGCTAGTTAAAGCTTGTGTTATGGGTACTAGATAACTGATACATATACATAGATTTTTTTTTGTAAATACATACATATTATACATAGAAAACACCCAGACCGATACAAACAATCATACTCATGAATACAAATGTTTGTGCCGTGCGAGGAATCGACCATCAGTCGTAAAGCAGTGTGCTAGACCGTGGTCGTGGTTGACCGACCGAGGTGATGGATGCCAAGTTCAGTTGTCAGTTTTGAAATTTATTTATAACAATATAAAATATAATTTCTCCTTATAACTTAAGATAATATGTTGTAAGCTAGGGTCCGACCGAAATAAATAAGTATATAGTGTAGCGTGTTTGGGAGGTGGTAACGTAATGATGGTAGCGGTGAGGTTGTGAGGCGAGAGTGCAATGAAGGTCCACTTACTACTTACCGCGGCCCGGCTCGCCGTCCACTGCCTCCATTGCCTGCACTGCTGTCACCACGCGTGGTATACCTGCCATAAACATGACAATATATTAAAAAAAATATATAAGACATAAAGTTCTCATGTCACAGGTTTCGTGTTTATACTCCTCCAAAAAGGCTTGACCGATTTTGATGAAATTTTATATGTATATTCAGTAGACCTGAGAATAGTTTTGTAACAAATTTTTATACCGTTAAGTGTTAAGGATGGCTCACCCCAAAAGTTTTGTTACATTTATTCCACAATTTTTTTTATTATCTGGTATTAAAAATACCTACAACCCAAAAACTTCACCCTTCTACCAACCCCTAGTTTTTAATTGTTATTTCAATTTATATGGCAAAACAACGTTTGTAGATTTAAAAATATAAATATATCGTCTTACGATTAACATATCACGTCTTCTTACCCTGTAATTGCACTGCTAAATCTCACTGAAAAAATAGGCTATAATTAAAATATAAAATTAAATTTTAATTTAAATATAATTTAAATACAAAATTAAGATTTCCATAATAATTGCACCCATGAATTAACAATTGAGGTTGGGTGGGCCGTTTAATACCTTTTAATTTCGCTGCAAAATCTCACTAAAATCTATGTAAAAAAAATGATATTCCTACAATATTTGCACCCGTCAAACCGGGCAGAAAGGGTTTCTCCCGTTTATTGTTGGGTTAATGTGGACTGTTGACTTCATTGATTCATTTGATTAATCAATGAAGTCAACAATCAACTTCATTGATCTCCACGGTTCCACCTTCAAACCATCATGATAAATTCCTGGTGAATTTGTCACACCAGGCCACGATGGCTAACTAACCTGACCTCATCCTATCATCCTCCAGTGGTGCCCCACCAGCGTATACCGTTAACGCAGTGCACTATTCCATTATCATCCATTAAAAAAAATGCGCCAATTAACAATTTAAGATGGGACTGTTTAATACTGTTTAAATATGTTAATTTACAACTATGACAATTTTAAACTTGATTGTCTGTCTGTACTTACGTATGCACGGCGCTATGTGACTCCTGGACTGCTGGAAGCCTTTAGCACATCGGTTGCAGGTTGTCCCGGTGACGCCGTCCTTGCAAGGGCACTGTCCGCTCGTTTGATTACAGGTCTTCCCACTCGCTCCCACCGGGTGGCAGTCGCATGCTAAAGAGAGGGACAGTATATTAGCATATAGTTAGAATACGGTATTAAAAAAAATATTAACACAAATAAAACTGTTCTAAAATGTAAAGACAAATTTATTCTTTTATTTATAGTAGGGTTAGTCGTTAAACCAAAAAATAGTGGCAAATGACACACATTAAACTAAACCATAATCGTCAAGGAACAAAGTAGAAATTTAAAAATAAATTTAAAAATATTTCAGATCAAATTTTTTTTCAGACCGCGTTGTTCGTTTAGAAATTTAGTTTTATACTTTTACTTTGTTTCTTTATTAAGCTTGATCAATCAAAGCGATATTAATGCGAAAGGTATTGCTTCCACATTCAGTCATTTCATTAAGTACATATTTAGTTTTATTTTTGCGCAAGCCAATATAATGTTACTATACATGTTAATCAAATGAAACCTATAATTAGCTTTAATATTTAATTTTATATTCATTTATTTCAGGCAACTAGGCCCATATTATAAATACCTTATAGACTAACATACATATGAGTTCATATTATATAATTAATAATATTCAATATATTATAGTTTGGTCACGGTACTGACGACGGCAATGTGCCACGGTAGCGCCGATATACCACACCCTTCGGCCAGTAGTCCTCCTTCATGAAGGTGGGCTGCATGTATATTAATATTGCCACATACATTATTAGAAATACAAATTGTAACTCCTTTGGTTTGAAATTAATTAAATATATATACATATATGTTTTTTAAAAACCCTTCCTTGAGTTACCGTGATACTATTTCTATGTATATATAAATATATAACTAGTTCATGTTAGTTTCTCCTAGTCGTGTATTATACACTCTATAAACCATATTCTATTTTTGAACGTACCTAAAACTTTCAACGAAATCCTTCAGCGAAATCCAATCCTCAATTCAACCCATAAATGTCAGTCTTTCAATTCGTGACACGGACATAACCTATCAACCGACCGCGCGGGTCAGATAGACCCCGAACTCAATTATTCGGGACGCGAGTCAGCATATCGATCAAAGTATTTGATATTGTGTGACATATTATTTAAATTATTCATAAATTTATTTATTTATACATTGTATAAGCTACTGATTTTTAATTGTGAATTTAACTAATTGTTCTAATGTACTTAACGGTATATAGTTATAATGTGATTCATCTAATTTTACCAAAACATAACTTAATGTAAACTATAGAAGTGACGTTATACTATAAGAACAAGATATATTTAAATTACATTAAAACGTTGTTCGGCTACCGCCTTATGGACACGGGTTCGAATCCTCGCAAACATTTGTATTCTTGAGTTTGGCTGTTCGGTCTGGGAGTTTCCTAGGTATATTATGTATTTACAAATACAAAACTATTTATGTTAGGTGTCTAGTACCCGTAATAAAAGCTATTTAAATTGGGACTAGATGGCGCTGTGAATTAATTGTAATAATTAATTTCCATCATTGGAGATACCCATTATTACAGTTATTTTGACAATGAGGACATTAACTATTCTATAGTATCAGACCTAATTTTTTTTACACAATACGTAAGGTTTTTTTTATTCCTTCTTACTTTAATTGTCTCGGTCAGATCCGTTTTTCTATCCCTTCCGCTACCTTATTATAAGTCTGGTCGAAAATAGTCGTTTCTCAATCGTGGAGTCAGCAAACACGTTCGGTGTAAATAGCGCGGCTCCCAAGGGGCCAATTTTGTCCCGATCGGCTGCACTCGATTCCGGGACAGTTTTTATGGGCAAACTATCCGGGTGATCCGCACCCCGGGAAATGGACCGCAGTTGATTATATGTCTGCACGCCTTTTATAGGGTAACGGACTTTTAGTTTTTCTTTCTTTTTGTTTTTCGCATTTTCCAATATTGCTTTTTCCAAGTAAGGACCGTGAATGGTCGTTGGCGGGAAATGAGAGCGGTTTGTGATAACAATCATTTGATTAAAAATATAAATTCTTATAAATACAAGATTTTTTTGTAAATGCAAACACATCTTTTTGTTATACTATGTAGGTAATGATTAAGCCTTGCTCAGTAAATATGATTTAACAGATGTGTTGAATTTATATAAGGGTAATTCCAGTACATCCTTTGGTATTCTATTGTATTTTTTTATACCTATAAAAGACCTATTGGCTTTTCTAAACGGTACATAATTAGAAATGGAATCTACTATAGTAAAGCCAACTATGACTTGATTGATACACCCAAGTGAGCAGGTATATCGGTGTTACCAAGTTAAAAATACGTGGTCCGGCGCCGGGTACAGATAAAATAAATAAAGGGCGCCGTAAAAAGTTTTACACCTGTACAGAGATGCGATCAAATAAACAGTAAGTTGAAACTTACACGTCGTGCCCGGTTTATGGGCCGTGTATGGGAGATGGGAGCGTTTTATTTCATGGTCCATTTAGAGGAAGTCTAGTGTTGTTGACATATATACATACACATGTATATATACAGTATTTTGTTCATAAAACTCCAGTGGCAGAGCTCACTGTACCATAGGAAACAACCTAAATGTACATAAGCACCGTGCAATAAAAACAAATAAATATTACGATCTAATGAATATAAAATGAATTTACGAAATGCATAAGGTCGAAGTGGTAGCGAGAGGTATACTAGCAAAATCTCTCTACAATCTTCTAGAAGATCTTGGTCTACATATCTAGAATTACGGTGGATTCTATACTGAAATGTGTATCTAAATCTGCACTAGCAGACTCCTACCAGATTTGACTGTAGAAACACAAGCTGTGAAGGTAAGTGGTTACGTACGTCTGTAAATACGTACGTACGTAAGCTGGCACATCACAAAAAGAATGAATAGGAAACTTGCGAGTTGCTCTTTTAAATAATTTTATTGTTACTTTACTTTTCAAGTTGAAGTGTGTGAATACAAACTACTAATTCCAATGTATAGGTACTTACGTTTGCAGGCCTTCTTGTGAGTGATCGGTTTCGTAGGGTCCCTATAGTACCCCTCCCTGCAGTAATGACAGTGTCTGCCGGCGGTGTAGTGTCGGCACTTGAGGCACACCCCGCCACTGGCCCGACCAGATAGCTTGTACAGCTCCATGTTGAATCGACAGCGACGAGCGTGGCCGTTGCAGTTGCATTCTGTAAAGATATTTACATAAATTAGGTTTAGGTTTAAAGATATTGTCCCCAAGCGCCTTCTTCAGAGAAGAAGGGGAAGCGGTGGGTTAACGATTTAGGTGTAAGGATATTTTCCCCGAGCGGCTTCACCAGGAAGAAGGGGAAAGCAGTGGATTCTATGGGACACAGTCACCTAGATACATAAAATAATAAGACAAATTCAATATTGTCTACTAGGCACTGCTGTATCTAAACTGTGTCACCCCACCTTACATTTTCCTACTTTTATTTAGTATATAAGATCATTATTTCTATGTACATATTGTCAGTTTAACATCGTATTATTTACCCGCAACAGATTCCACTAGGGAACCAGCAGAGATAGGCCCACTGCTAAAATGGACCACCGGCGCCGCGGTGGACATAGAAAGATATTTATATAAATTAGGTTTAAAAATATTTTCCCCGCGCGCCTTCACCAGGGAAGAAAGGGGAGCAGTGGGTTCTTCTATGGAACCAGTAGATATGAAGCCTACTGCTAAAATGGATCACCACCATCGCGGTAGACTGGGAAAGCTATTTATATAAATTAGACTTAAAGATATATTCCCCGCGCGCCCGTGTGGAACCCACTGCTTCACCCTTCTTCCCTGGCTTTACCAAGGAAGAAGGGGGAAGTAGTGAGCAACCAGACTAGGGAACTAGCAGAGATGGGGAATCGTAGTGGACTGACACTCGATCCCCAAACTCCGGCTTATGGCGACGAGTGAGGGTCATCTTGGGGTTTTTTGTACTCACTAAAAACTCCAAGATGTCCCACGGAGACTCACGGTACCCGTTTAGCTTCTCCGGGGAAAACGGGTCCTTAAGAGGGATTTTATATATGTTTTGTTGCACTTCTTAAATAATATTCAAATACATGTTATAAATTATGTTTGCAAAGGAGGACTTATCTCTAAAAGAGATCTCATCAAATTAAAAAAAAGGGTTTAAAGATATCTCGATATTTAGAATTACAAATAATTCATTTAACAGTAGGATAAAAAATATTAAGTAATACAATATTGAACATGAGTGAAAACAAAAAATTCTGCATTATAAATACTTTTGACGTTGAAACAGCAAAATCTCAGCAGAAACTAATAGATATTTATGCTCATTTAAAATTACAATACACTTGATATGAGAATCAAAAATATATTTTTTTTTATTTACTTATTTAGGATCAAAAACACAGAATTAGAAAACTTATAATTATTTTACATTTTCTATCTACTATGTTTTTGTAAACCCAACATGCATGATCACAAATTATACTAAAGTATTAAGATATGTGGGTTTATTATTAACTAATACAATATTAAACAGTAAAATAATAATAACTAAAAAAACAAATAAACACAAAAAATATAGAGTACAATACGAACAAAACAGGGCAATCGTCCGGGGCCTCGCTCTTGCACTAGCCTCCGGTAACTTGCAAATCAAATTTTAAACAACCAGTGAGTATCAAGTTGCAAACACTTCCTGATTTAGGCATTTAATTGTAAATGAACAAAATTACCAGCACTAAAATTATTTATTATTTTTCTTATTGTTTACATTTGCACCGCCTACAGTTTCTCTGCACCTGTGGTTGACTGGTAGAAAATGCCGTAAGATGTTAAGTCCGCCATATGTACTTTTACGTTAGTATTTTGAGCATTGAAGTTATATAAATAAAATATACAAATGAACAAACGAAAAATTGAATTCAAATTTGAATTTAATTTAAAAAAAATTAAAATTAAGGCATAGAATACTTGAATCAGCAGAATATTTCCGCATAATCGTTCGCATCACATACTTCTCACGTAGGACGCATCGCAAAGCGTTGCAATAGGTAGGGCCGCGTACAAGAGGTAGGTTTATATGTGTAATACATGTACACCCGTGCAAAGCTGGGACGGGTAGCTAGTATATAATATCTTAAAGTGTATATCCCATTAATAATTTAGTATTAGAAAGCTGTAGTTAATACTACAACCAGCCAGGACATATAGTGCTATTTCGTAGTCCCAAGAGCCTCGTGCGAGCTCAGTGTAAAGCTATTAATATTGCGGCATCCAATATTGGCCAATTGGTCATTTGACAAATATGTTTATTTATACAACGTTGGATTTCAATGGAATTAAATAATATTATCTAGACATATAGAATGTTGCCATATAAAAAATTCTACGTAAAATTATTTATTTATATATATAAACCATCCTCTTAAATCACTCTATCTATTAAATAAACAGTTTCAAAATCCGTTGCGTAGTTTTAAAGATTTAAGCATACATGGTGACGGACAGACAACTACAGCGACTCTGTTTTATATTATGTAATGATGATAATGATTTCTTTGTGATATCTACAATATTTGTTTTTCTCTCTCTAAAAGCTCTTGCTGTTTCTTTGATTTATTTTGATTTGTTATCACCGTTTCCATCACCAGAGTTTCAGTCACAAATATAAAGCTATTATTTTGTGTCCACCAGATTTAAACTCGCAATATTCTAATTATGTTGGTACAGTAAATTATTAACTGTTCTTTCTCTTATATCTTTACCATCTACCATAGGATTGTATTTATGAGATTACCAAGCGATAAAACTGTCTTTTGGACTAGTTTATTTAAATTAATACTTTTTTGTATAATAACATGGTAGAACAAAGTGTTATAAATAAAATAAATAAATAATAAAATAACTGGGCCAAGACGCGCTCGATCTCCTCTTTTAATTATTCACGTGTCAATACGAATGTTACTATCGCCGTACCTACTAAACTATTGCCCAATGCTGACATCAACTATATGTAGGGTTGCCATCTCTTGGAGGTATCTCTTCGCTATACCTAAGAGTTTCAAAAATTTTATTTGGCTGCATACCTACTTACGGTTGAGGTGAGAAGAATTTTTTTATTTAAATTGGGCCTATAAGCCATGCGATTGAGGTGGGAAGAATTTATTTATTTAAATTGGGCCTATAGGCCATGCGATTGAGGTAGGAAGAAATTCTTTATTTAAATTAGGCCTATAGGCCATGCGATTGAGGTGGGAAGAATTTCTTTATTTAAATTGGGCCTATAAGCCATGCGATTGAGGTGAGAAGAATTTATTTATTTAAATTGGGCCTATAGGCCATGCGATTGAGGCGGGAAGAAATTCTTTATTTAAATTAGGCCTATAGGCCATGCGATTGAGGTGGGAAGAATTTCTTTATTTAAATTGGGCCTATAGGCGATGCGATTGAGGTGGGAAGAATTTCTTTATTTAAATTGGGCCTATAGGCCATGCGATTGAGGTGGGAAGAATTTATTTATTTAAATTGGGCCTATAGGCGATGCGATTGAGGTGGGAAGAAATTCTTTATTTAAATTGGGCCTATAGGCCATGCGATTGAGGTGGGAAGAATTTCTTTATTTAAATTGGGCCTATAGGCGATGCGATAGAGGTGAGAAAATTTTCTTTATTTAAATTAGACCAAATCCGGGGAAAACAAGACGGAGGATTGTTGGCAACCCTAAGTAAGGGACACATAACTTGAAACAATAACTTGCGGCATAAACAAAGAGCATAGCACGCCGGCACGCCGCGCCGCCCATACCACATAAACCTGTCAACGACGTGATCTGTTGCTGAAAACATATCAAATGTTACGTACAACAGATGGCCGTATTTAAAAATTATAACAGTTGCTTTGTAGTTACATTTCTTGTAAGTATTTCTGTAGTCCATGATTCATTCATTCATACATGCGCACTAAACAAATAAATAACCCTGGACAATTAACACAGCGCCATCTAGTTCAGCGGTAAGCAGACCTTGTGTTATGGTTACTAGACAACTGATATAAATATTTTTTCTTGTAAATACACACATATACATATAAATCACCCAGAGCGATACAAACAATCATAGTCATGAATACAAAATGTTTGTACGTTTAAGTAGAATTCAAAATTCAAAAATTATTTATTCATTTAGGACATTGTAGCCGCTTATGAAAGTCATATTTTTTATATTATAATTTTTTCCTTACCGTCCAGTTCAGTATATAGATCGAATTGAGAAGAACTGGCAAGAAACGCAATTGAATGTTATTTTTAAGCCAGTTTTTTAAAATATATTGGTAGTATTTTTGAATAGTCATCCTTATTTTTTTAATCCACAGCTCATTCGGAAAGCTGTCTCATCACGAGAAGAACAAGCAAGAAACTTGCGTGTTGCTCTCTAAATAATTGTTGTAACTTTCCAATTTTTATTTGAAATGTATGAAAACTACGACCTAGCATAAGGTTAGTTATAGCTGATGGTGAAAAATTCACCAGGAATTTATCATGATGGTTTCCAGGGGGAACCGCATAGAGTTCAAGCTGACTTGTTACATTGCTAGCGCTAGAGTAATTACTTGATATAATAATAATCTCAGGACAATTCACACAGCGCCATCTAGACCCAAGTTAAGCTAACTAAAGCTTGAGTTATGAATACTAGATAACTAATAAAAATACATAGATTGTTTTTTAATGTATGAAATTCTAATCTCTGAAACGGCTAGACCGATTTTGACTCACAGATAGATATTATCATAAAGGGGTAACTTAAGGTACTTTTTAATTAATTAATGCTTAATTTTAATGAAAAATAGTTAAATTCCACGCGGACTAAGTCGCGGGTAACACGTTTTTTATATCACAGGTGCAAAACTAGTTCACCTGATGGTAAGTGATTACCGCTGCCCGTAAGCATCCGCAACACCAGAGGAATTGCAAGTGCGTTGTCGGCCTTTTAAGAAGTTATAGTATTTACATAACTTAATTGTACTACTACAACCTAAAATTAAAAAAATATAATACAATGACTAAAATATATTATTAAAAGGGGTCCCTTTAGGCAAAGTTAAACAACCCTAAATTTTCACCTTTCTATCACCAGTACCTATTTTTTAATAGCGATATCATCATTACCTAGTATAAAACGAAATCGCTCT